TAGTAGAAATTTAGAGGGAAAGAGCATAAAGAAAAAAATTATCTACAGTCCACCCACAATATTACCACTATCAGTTTTTAAAATAATTTTGTAGGTGTTTTTTTCTATTCATATTACAAATAGTTGTGATCCATCATATACATGGGACAGATATTGCATGTAAAATTTGTATCCCATATTTTTATTCAACATTATTGCATAAGTGTTTTCTCATGTCACTGAAAATCACTTAAAAATACAATTTTTCTAACTTCAGAATATTTAGTCTTGGATATTCATCCATTACTCATCTAATTCTTCACCCACTGTTGGACATTTACATTTTTAAAAATTTGCTTATTGATAGGGATTTTAAAAATCCATTTAATTTCATTTAATTCCAAATGAAGTGATTTCATATGCATTAGTCACTTGCATTGTCTTTCAAGCATGATTTTATCTGATCTTTAAAGATTTAGAATGTCACCATCCCTTCATCTTATTGCCTGACTTAAAGTGGGATATTAATCATACATGATTTTTTCTTAGATTTGAAACTACAATGACATCTTGGGGCCCTGTTGTCTCTTCTATCAATAGTATTGCTGAAAATGTTAATCACAAGACATACTGGGAGTTCCTTAGTGGCAAAACACCTTTGAATGAAGGTGAGAGAAGAAAAGGAATGGGAATTTCTTACATAGTTTGAAGGCTACGTTCATTAATTCTTTTATTTGCCATTCATTTATTTAATCAATGAATAATCATGAGTGTGTGTGTACATACAATAATTATATATACAGTGATTACATATATGGGTATATAACATATAGTCATTAGATAGGTTGATTAATAGATAGATCAACTCTAGGTATCAGTGACTTTCTTTTTATAGAGAAGGAAACTAAGTCTTAGAGACATTCAAGGGACTTCTGCAGGCAAGCATCCAGCATGTGATAGAATGAGTAGTCAAACCCAGGTTTCCAAACTCTAGAACAAGTGTGGTTTCTACCATTGCTTCACTCAAAATTCATTTTTGGCTTCTTTTTGCTGTAGTGGTTTTTAAAAAATCTCCAAAAAGAGGAATGTCTGTACATTCATGTTTGTATGAAGAAAGTGGGAAGAATAAAACTCAGACTTCAGCAAAACCTTAACATTCGTTAAAGTTTTTGCGCAAATATTAAAATATCCTCCAACTTAAAGAGTACTGGTATATATAGTTTTGTCTAAGGATGATGTTACCATGTAGAGATGTAATATCAGATACAATAACAGCAGAACCAAGGCTGCAGCTTGGTAAAGATGCCTCATTACCCACTGTCACAACAGGAGAGATGTTTTTCTTAGAGTCTAGCATGTATTTAACAAAATCGGGCCAGTCAGAATTTGTGGAATCGCAGCAAAACAATATAACAAATATCTTGGAGTCACCTAAGCCTTGGATGGAACCTCCTTCTTATATCTACTAGCTGCGTTAGACAAGTAATGAATCTTCTCTGAGCCACAGTTTCCACAGCTATAAAATGGAAATAGCAATAACCATTTCTTGGGGTATTGTGAAGATTAGAAATAATTTGTTTAAAATAACTAAATACAATGCCTTTTCCATGTCATGTGTTCAAAAATGCTAACCATCTTCGTCATCATTATTATTAGTTTTCCTACCACCTTCATCTCAAGAAATTGCCCTGGGAACTTAAATCAGGTTCTCAGTCTGCTAATCACTTTTCTTCTCTCAGAGAAAAGATGATTAAGGGAAAGCCTCTAAAATTCAAAATGGATTTGAGACTAGAATTGTCCTTCTTTCTGGCTACCTGAAAGATATCTGAAAGATAATGGATATTGTCATCATCTATGTTTCCTGTCCTGAAAGACAAGAATTCTCCACCTACTGCCCTTCCTTTTCTTTAACAAAATCTTCAAAAATGAATATAAGATCGTCCCATAAGCGCTCTAATTTTGACCAAAATAGGCCACTTGAAAAACAGCCACCATTTATTGCACAATTATTATGTGTCAGGTACTGTATTAGGCAGCTGGCAGCCATTATTCCTAATTCTGAAAATAACTCTTCAGAGTAAGTATTATTAACAAAATTTTATATGAAAGGAAAAAGAGGCTTGCATGCTTCCAGAGTCATGCACTACAAAATGGAGACCTAGAGACTGGAAACAAGAACTCCCAAAATCTCAGTTCCATTCCTTCCATGCTAATCAAACTGCCCATTTCTCTCTAGGATGATTTTATTTCTTTAACAAATATAATGGGGGGTGGGGTGGTCTCATGCACCGTGGCGGTCACCTCATGTTCTGCTCTGCTTGCTTCCAGGGGTGGCTGACTACATACCCTTCGACCATGAGCACATCACAGCCAATTTCACGCAGTACTAAGGAGGAGGTGGGCTTACCTTCTATCAAACATCTCCAAAGGATGGATGGAATTTTTTTCACTTCACTTCAAATCTATGCTACAAAGTGGATGTCTACAGGGCTATCATATTCTGGTAAAAACATGGAAAACCACTACGCAGAATAAATGACTCAAAGTTCTCTGGAGTCTCAATATCTGTGACCCATGAAAATAAAATTTCCAGCTCCTCAGTGCAATGACTGCCAGTCATCATGTAAACCTAGGGTGAGGGGAAAAGAGAGAGTCCAGCTGATATTTTTGGAGACCATTTTGATCCTCTTGATTAATTTAACAACACACTCCCTATTTCTACAAATGAAATGACATAGTTTAGAATCCCTTATTTTTTTCTTATACCAAGTACTCCTTTTCAAACCACTTAATAAAACATATATACATATGTATATGCATATACATGAAATGACCTAATATTACTTCATATGAAACTCCCAGATAGTTCAGAACTAGGTAAACAATGTTATGTCATAACTCTCCCCTGCCATTTCCAATATTTATTCTAGGTAAAATCAAGTTTAAAAAATATATTTTTATATAATTTGTATATATATTTAATATACAAATATAATTTATACCCAATATATAATTCAATATATATTTATATATTGGATAGACAGAGATCTTTGGAAAAAATGTAAGCTTTCAAAGACAATCAAAACTCTAACGCTGGTAGGAGTCAGCATTGATAGGAGTCAGCATTGATAGCAAAGAGTCAAAATGTCAGCTGCGACTATTAGAGAAGAAAGCTTGGATGCACCGCCACAATACACTTCCTAATACTGAACCCCAGAATTAGAACTTCTCAGTCACACACCCTGCATCCTGGCATCTCAGACCAAGTACGTGCTCTCTAATAACAGTCTGGCTCCCAAGAGAAAGAGGGGTGAGCTGCACAGGCCCAGGTCCTCATTCTATGCACACCTGTTAGGTAAACCACTCTATCCTAGAAAAAGGCCAGGACTGTCACTGTAATGGGAAGAAACCTCAGGAGTAAATAGGGTAAATAAAGTGCTCACTTATAACATATCATAATGCTTATAATATAGAAAAAATACAAATAATCTATATGTCCAACAACAGAGCAATGGGTAGATAAACTCTGGTGCATCCATATGATGGGATACATAAAAGTTACTATAAGTCATGTTGAAGATAAAAACTTGCTGACATGAAAAGGCATTCTGATGTATAGCCAAGTGAACGAAGCAGACTATACAATGTTATAATATCATTCATGCCAGAAGGTTTCAGTGTTTATTTCTGTGCGATAGAATTATTGGTGGTTGGGTTTGTTTTATTCATTCAACGTATAATAATTGAGCAACTGGTAAATGGGAAAAAAATTATTTTAAACAAAGATGACTTTTGTTTGTTTAACAATAAACTAGGCAACCGAAGAAGCAAATTGTGTGTGTGTGTGTGTTTGTATATTTTTGCCCAACTTTTGCTCTGATGATAGGAAATTAAGGGACAATAAAGAGAGGGAAATCACAGATTGGTTTCACACATGTAAACCTTGTCTTAACTATCTGCCTAAGGTTTAACTGCATGTGTGTGTTCATTTGTATTGTCAGGGCTGGGGGCAAGTGAATGAGGTTGACATTGTATCCTCTATGACAAGATGCAGTTCTGCTTTGAGGAAGTAACTTAAAATGGATTTATGTTTGTATACACCATAAAAATAAAGGTGGCTGTTATAAGTGATAAAAGAATGAGAAAATATTGCAAAATAAAATCATCTTTGAGTACCTTGAAGTAGGAAGTCACATAACTTTTGTTTATAAAATACACCTATTTCCCAAGACTTATTTCAATTTTCTTTATAAATTTCCAATACATTTTCCAGTTGGTTTCCATTTGTCATTATTTCAAAGGTGAAGGATTTCTACTCCTTCCTTTTTCATTTGGGGACTATTATGCAGTTTAAGAATTTTCCAAGCTATGAACTTGTTTACCTTGCCCCTAATTCCCATATTTTGGTCATTTAGCACCAGTAAATTATCTAAGA